TGGGGTCCAGTGGTGCAGTCTTCTTGATCACCTTAGCCTGGTGGTGCATAAATGTCCCTTGAGTGGATTATGTGGGCCTTCTTCTTGTAATTGAGTCTTCATTGCCATTGGCCTGTTCATGCATGGGATTGACCCTTAGGCTGGCTGACTCTGAGGTTCATCCCCATCTACAGCATGTGAGCTGCTGTGCAGGTAGGTGCTGATCACTCCAAGGGGAATTTGCCTCAGCAGGGTTTGGTGCCTGCTGAGATCTCCCTTTGGATATATTGCTTGTGGAGCTTGTTGGATCTTACTCTGATATTGTCTGAAGCTGGGTTTGTTGGTTCTGAGCCTCTTGGGAGGGTCTCTGGTGCAGACCAATGTAAGATGCTACCTGTGACTGGTCCTCTGAAACCTGTTAGAGCTACAAGTGATCCACAGTGTGGCTGCCTCTGCTGGGCCCGGGTGTGAGTGGAAAGTATCAAGGTGCATACCAAGCCCATCTTTTACTAGCACCAGGCTTGGGGGCAGGTCAGCAAAAGTCCTAAGGCATCCTGACATCTGCCTTGGCCTACCTCTGCCTTCTGGCTACCCATTTGGCTCAGTCATTGAAAGAACCTCTGGCTGTACTCCCCAGCAGTGCATAAACTCCAGAGGGTGGGCCTATTGCTTTCCCCCATGCTAATTCCACATGGAAGGGAATTCTCCATCCGAAAGATGACATCTGCGGTATGGGAGAGGGACTCAGCATGGGGATCCTGACTGCTGTTCCTTCAGCTCCCTTCCCAGAGCCACAAACCCCAGTTCCTCCTCGTGTCTCTAGTCTGCTCTGCCTTCCCTCTGCTGGAGCCCAGGTTCTGGCTGCAAACAAAATTTTGTGTGGTGGTCCTTTTAAGAAGGTGCTGGTGTCTCTAGCAGACTCTCATCTCTTTCTGATGGGATAAACTCTTTCTTTCCACAGCCTGGTGTTATGTGGGCACCTCTTCCTAGCTCTGGTGCCCTGAGCTGGAGAGCCCAGCTTGGGGTTTAGATCCCACACTGCTCAAAGGGAACTCCCCACAGCCAAGATATCTCTCCGGCTGCTGCCTGTGGGAGTGGATCCAGCCCTTTTTGTGTCTCTGCTCCTCCTACCAGTGTCAACATGGTTTCTTCTGAAAATCTCTGGTTATAAGACTTCTCTTCAGCTAGTCTTCAGTTGTTATTCAGGATGCTTCTTTTATAATTCATTTGTGATTCCAGTTTGGTCCTGGGAGGGCTTGAGGGCAGCTTTCACCTACTCCACTGCTATCTTGGGTCTTTTGTCCTGATTTTTAATTGATAATTACTCTGGGTGTCAAATTCTATATTGTCGGTTATTTTTCCTTAGCAATTGAAGATACCATTTCCTTGGCTTTTGGCTTTTGACTTTTGACTTTCATTGTTGTGTTTAAAAGTCAGTGCTTATCTGATTATTGTCTGCTTTTGAAATTCTGTTTGTCTTTGCCCCAGTTTCTTCTCCTCTGATTTCTCAATTTTTAAAAAAAATTTTTTTACCATATTACTCTTTAGTCATGTTTTCAACTTTTATTTCTGTAAGTGAAATTTTTGACATCTGATTCTATTATCTGTTTTTTTCTGCTGGTTTTTACTTTTGATGATTTTTGTTTTTTGGATGTTTTATGATTTCTGTCTATGATCTCATTTTTCTTGGAACTGTGGGACTGTTTTGAGGCCTAGGAAGGAAAGGGATTCTCCTAGAAGTTATTTGCATTTGCTTCTACCAGGTACCTATACTGTATACACAGTGCAATTCTGGGGCCCTGTGAAAATAAAATCTCAAGACTACTTAGTGTGAATTGGGGCTAAAAATATGAGGGCTGATTTGGGTTATGAAACCTCTAGAGAGTATCTTCTGTTCTCTCCCACTCGGTACCAAGGTTCAAGACAAGTAGTTTCCCTTGCATTGCCCCTGGAGGTAGAGGTGTCTTTCTAAGTCAGCCTTACATTGGATGTATAACACTGGGATTTTGCCTTTACTGAGGAGAGGTCTTAGACCCCTCACTTTTGGTGGATCCTGGGTGTTTCCTCTCACTACCTTCCCTCCACACTCACTTTTTCTCTCACTACTCTCCCTGCACTCTCACCAGCCACACTAGGCTGTGAAGGTTGAAGCTCAAGTTCATCTGCTTTAGCAACCATCCTTAATGTACTCCTATGAGATACTCCCTTCCTTCATTTTGTCCTCAACAGTCCTTACTGTTTTACTGACTCATTGATGTATTTAAAATAATGTGTTTCCCCTCTACTTTATCCAAAAATTGTAGTTGTTACCTGTGAGAGGGGCCAGTCAGTACCCACACGACCCCGTGCCGGAAATGAAAGTCCTGGTTACCTCTTGAGCCTCCCTGCCGCACAACATTCACATAGTGTCTTTCTGCTGACAGTAATGAACCTGAAGGCCTGATCATTTGATTGTTAAAAGTTATGATTTTAGCTACCAGTAAGGAGACTTTTAAGTCCAGTTATAATGATAGAAAGCAAACTTGTAAGAAATTTTTTACATGAAGCTATGAATGGAATTTTGGTATTTTTAGCCACGAAAAGAGGAAGTGGAGGAAGTAAGTAAACCAGTTAGGGAGAATATCTTATTTTATACTTTTCACAAAATTAGAAACTTAGAATTTAAAAAACCCCAGCATGGTGACACAGTGAGCAGCCATTGTTTTTCAGTATTTTATTATCATTTGAAAAATGTAATGGTTTTAAAAAAGTATTTATTATCATTTAAAAAAAGATAATGGCTATTGATTTAATTACTAGTGACTGGCATCATGTAATCTAGAAAACATTGACAAAAAATACATTTTTGATAGGGAAGTTTGATGATGGGCTTCTTACTGTAACTTGGGGTAAGCTATGTATTTCTCTGGCCTCAGTTTTTCTACCAGAAAACTCCCTGAGGGCTTGAACAGTTCAGTCTACTTTGTCTCTTGGAGCCTGAATTCAGTGACAAAGAATGTGTTGTGTTGTTTTTCTTGGTAGGATGATGGAAGGAATACTAGAACATTGTTTTTAGTTTATGTTGAAAAGTTGTTTTCTATGGTTGTGCATGAGCTGGTACTGAAATGTTATCAAATAGTATTTAAATCAGCCTCACTCTGGACATTCAACTACCTCCCATTTTTCTTAGAAGTATTTATTGAGCATCCAGTCAGTGCCAGATGTTAATGTAAACAAGCCAAATTTCTGCCTTAATACATGGTATAAGTAAAGAATATTAATGGAAAAGGGAGATTACAAATAATTATTCATATTTGTGTTTATATGTACACAGAGGAATATTGGAATCATATAGATCAAAAGATATATTAAATCATTTTTGGTTCACAGGCCAGCATTCAGTCCACTGAGCCACAACCAGCCAGGGCATATTAAATCATTTTTGATGGAAAGATTGCATGCTGTATTTATTGTCTTCTTTTGCTTCTCTGTATTTTTTTTTTAAACTTAAGAAAAATTATTGTTAATAAAATGGGATACCTGAGTCAGGAAAAACAGTAAATGCCTGATTTCTTTAAAAAAAAAAAACAGGAACTGTTACTAACAACGAATTTGTGTCCAGTGTGTCTCCTCATTTACTTCTTGTTACAGTTTTTTTGAGGTAGTGCTATCCCTGTTGGGCCCTGAGAAAACAGACGTCTGCCATCAGATTCCCCCCTTTTTTTTTTTGCCATCAGTCATGTTTTGAATGAGCCTGTTTCTTGCTTTTTTCTTTTAATCCTCACCCCAGGAATATGTTTTTATTGATCTAAGAGAGAGAGGAAGAGAAAGAGAAACATCAGTGTGAAAGAGAAACATCAATTTGTTGCCTCGTATACGTTCCCCCATTAAACTCACAACCTATATATGTGTCCTGACTGGGAATTGAACCTGTGACCTTTTGGTGTGTGGGACAGTACTCAAACCCACTGACCCACCCGGCCAGGGCAAGAATTCTTGCTTTTTAAAAAAAATCTTGGCAGTTCTACATCTATTTAAATTGACAAAATTATGTGGGGGAAAAATGTTTTAGTTTATTAAACAATTACAGGTTTTGAGTTTCGGATAACATTTACTATTTTAGATTTTAGTACAAGGTGTTTGGTCAGCTAGCAGCTCAGCTAGCAGTTAAATATTCTATACTGGCAATATTTAACTGTTAGATGAAAAAGTAGAATTAGATGACTCTTAAGAGATTCGGTGACTCTAAGACCTTACTTTTCCAGTATAGCTTAATTTGTAATAACCATTCTTACTGTTTTAGTAACTATTTTAACTAAAATAATTTAACTTTTATTCCTTGAGGAATTTTCGTATCAGTTTACATTGAAAAAAAAAATCTACCGGACCGTGTATACTCACTTTTAGTTAAGGAAACATTATCACCATATCACATAGTCAAATCCCTTGGCTTTTTAGATAAGAAAAATGAGATGCAGGACATTTTTTACTTTTTATTTTGTTTTACTTATTTTCTCATGCCTAAACAAAAAATAAATAAAGCACAGATTGCCCTGGCTGGTGTGGCTTGCTTGGTTTGAAGTATCTCATAAACTGCAAGGTCACAGGTTCAGTTCCCAGTCAGGGCACATGCCCAGGTTGCAGGTTCAGTCCCCAGTTAAGGTGTGTGTGAAAGGCCCCTGGTCAGTGTTTCTCACATTGATGTTTCTCTCCCTCTCTCTCTTTCCCTGCCCCTCTCTCGAAAATCAATAAGCATGTCCTTGGATGAGGATAAAAACATACATATATACATACATAAAAATCATATAAATAAAACTAAGATGACTATTTTGATCAGTTTGAGTTCTGAGAGATGGCAGATGACTTGATTTTCTTTTGAAATTATGCATTAAGACTAATTAGTAGTAAAGACCATCCTGATTTTTATCAATTATGACTTCAGTATATAATTATAGGACTTTTTTATATTCTTCAGTGAAATATTTTATATATTGATGAAATAAAAATGTTTATAAACTTGAAAACTTTATTTTGCTATGCAGCTCACTGTGAATGAAGCGGCTGCCCAGCTCTGTGTGAAGGATAATGGCCTCCTGACAAGAAGAGATGAACTTTTTGCCTTGGCTAGGCAGATTTCTCGAGAAGTCACTTATAAATATACTTACAGAACCACCAAGTAAGTTTAACCAATTGGCAGTGCTTTTGCATTACTCGATAGAAGTAGAGCTTGAAATACCATCCACTAATAGTATATAAGAATGTCTGAAAAAAGTGTGATTGTAATTTTCTAAAATTAAACAGTAGAGCGACCTTTTCAAAACTTTATTGCTGAAGTGTTGTTGTTTTGTTTAATTCTCTTTGGTGTTTCCTTTAAAAAAATAGTTCCATAACACTATAATATTGTTCTGGTGGGGTTTTAGACATTCTCTCATATAGATGCTTTGGTTTTGGGTATAATAGGGAGTCAGCATTTATAGACATATTTATATACCACTAACTACAGGAAATTGAACTTTCAGAAAGCAAATTAGTTCCTTTTATAGGTGTTTGCAATCTAACGAGATTAACTAAATAGATAAAAGTATTGCATTGACCAGTATTTAAGGGAAAATTGGAAGATAATTTTTTTACTAGCAAGTGGAATATGGAACATGTTTGAAATTTAAAGAAAAACTTCATGTTAAAAAGCAGTGATAGTTTTAAAATTTAACATAAACACACCATATTACTCTTCATCTTCTCCTCACTTATACCCCAAGCGTTGTCTGTAGTTTTGGACCATTCTGATTATGTTCACTCGGTTCCACACGAACCCTGATTTCCAGTGCACCGTCATTGTGCATGGCAGGGCTTCTCTCAGTAGATGCAGATGGTCATTTGCATTAGAATAACTGAGCCTGCATTGAAAAGCCACATCCTGAGCACCTTCCCAGTCCTAATAAATCACAGTCTCTGGGGATGGAGCCTTGGAATGCGAACTTTGACAAGCATCCCACATGATTCTTGTGCACATTCAAGTTTGAAAACAACCCTTATAGGCATTTGCTGTCATCACCATTATTTTTCTAACTCATAGCTGCTTCATTTTTTACCCAACTCAAGAGCTCACATATTTACAAACTGACAAGTAAAAATATTCAGACTAAATAAACAGGGTAAGCATATACAGGAATATGATAGGATTATTTCTAAGGTTTTTTTTTTTTTAGAGTTGGTTACTCAAGAGCTGATTTAATGATTTTTCATTTCTAATACAGAATTTTTCTTAGGGTGCTTTATTTAAATAATTTTAATCAAAGTCATATGTGCACATTATTTAAGAAGTTGCATCATACACGAGGCTTATAATGAAACTCAGCAGTTCCCCTTCTCCACCCCTTTTTCCCTTCCCCCTTTTTAATGCAGCATCGCAGAGGCAACTACTCACAACAGTTTTTAGCTGTTTCTTGTAGTATTTATATTTATATATTTTTAATTAAATATACTTTGAAATACATAATTTAGAAGAAAAACTAAGTATATAGGTAATACAAAAACTTGCACTCCCATTCCCATCTCATTTTACCTTGTACCTTGCACATGCAGGGAAATAGTTTCTCATTTTTCACCTTTCTTAAAAATCAATAGGTAGCATGTGTCTACATTATTCTATGTTTTTCTTTTATTTTAACATGTCTTATACATTATTCTGTATTTTGCTTTTATTTTAACATGTCTTGGAGCTCTTGCTATAAGTATTGGTATATATACATCTTCATTATTTTTTACACTTGCCTGGTATTACACTGATGTATCATGATTCATTTAACTAGTCCCCTATTGATGGATTCTTGAGTTGTTTCTGGTCTTTTTCATTATAAATAATATCATAATAAATACCATTGTGCATATCTTATTTTGTTGATTCTGAGATATACTTTTTTCACATTTTAAGATCTTTTATATGAAGATGTAACTTACAGTTGATGGCTTGCCATAGTTTAATTGGCAGCAGTAGTTCATGTATGTGTAGGTAGCTCTGTGCATTAGATTCCCAGCAGAGAGATCTCTAGGTCAAGGGGAAATGCATCTGTCATTTCAGTAGATGGATAAAATGCATTTTAATCTCATGTAGCTTCAAGTATGCATCTTAAGTGGCCATTGTTGTCATTTTTGTCCTAAATCCATAAAGGGATATTATAGAATACAGTCCTCCTTGATTTTTTTCCTTTTTCATTATGTGATAATACTTATTACTTTCTATATGGGGAGTTCTATGTAATGGTCTTTTAAAATATATAATATAATTGTGTGTGTATATTTTTAATGTTAATTTAGACATGATGAAAAGTCTAGTTTCTATTATTTCATTGTTCATTATACATGTTTTATTTTTGTTGTTAGGGTTTCAGGGTTATGTTTTGGTGGAAGTTTATAGATTGAGCTGGAATAAAATTTCTTTCTCAAGTTTTTCTCTCTTTCTCCCATTTCCCTCAGGTCCAAATGTGGAGAAAGAGACGAATTATCTCCAAAGAGAATTAAAGTGGAGGTATGATTATATACTTTCTTAGAGTAATAATGTTTGCTTTAGTAGTTCACACTAAAAAAAGGATGGTGCCATAAGCTAGTGAAAAATGTAAATTGTAGAATCTTTAAAAAAACCTTTTTTTGCTTTGAAGTATCTGTAGTAATTTGAACTAGGATACTAAGAAAATTCATAGAAGAAAACAACAATTACAAGATTGATGTCTAGTCAGTTTACCAAAGGTTCATTTGTAAATAGGTGTTGATTACAGATTTAAAACTGTGCTCGTTAAAGTGTTTTTTAAATAATATTATTTACAAATTTAATCATCTTGTCAAATGTTTTTAGAGGAGCTAAGATTTAATTTCTTTACATTCTCTCCGAAGGAAATTACAATTTAGTAGGTGCAAACTATGGAGACTTCCCTGTGATTAAAGCCCCTTTTCGAGGGTCATAGTTGAGGCCCTCCTTCTGATTTTCGGCCTGCCAGTGGTAAGGTGGAAGTTGAGCAAGAAAAATATGCTTTTCCTAGGGCTCTCAGAACTGTAGGATAGTTTGAGAACTACTTTTTCTTAATTTGGATTGAATACAGTAGTCCCCTTACCCCAGCTATGTTTTCACTTTCCACAGTTTCAGTTACCTACGGTCTCAGTTACCCACAGTCAACTGCAGTCTGAAAAGATTAAATGGAAAAATCCAGAAATAAACAATTTCTATGTTTTAAATTCTGTACCATTCTGAGTAGCATGATGAAGTCTTGCAGTGTCCCATCTAAGACATGAAACATCCCTTTGTCCAGCGTATCCATGCTGTGTATACTGTCTGCCCAGTAGTCACTTAGTAACTGTCTAGATTATCAGATTGACTGTTGCTATGTGACAGTCCTTGTATTCAAGTAACCTTTATTTTACTTAATAATGGCTCCCAAGTGCAAGAGTAGCGATGCTGGCATTCAGATATGCCAGAGAGAAGCTATGAAGTGCTTCCTTTAAATGAAAAGGTAAAAGTTCTTGACTTACTAGGGAAAGGAACAAGTATGCTGATGTTGCTAGGATCTAAAGTAAGAATGGATTTTTTTATCTGAAATTATGGGGTAGGGAAAAGAAATTTACGTTAATTTTGCTGTTGTACTTTAAGATGCAAAAGTTAGATGCAAAAGTGAGTGATAAGGGCTTAGGTAAGATGGAAAAGGCATTAAATTCATGGGTGGAAGACAGGAACAGAAAATGTGTATCAGCTGATGGCGTGTTGTGCCAGAAAGCACTGAGCCTGTATGAAGACTTCAGTAAGGGTGCTGCTAAAATGAGTGACACCAGGCCATTTTCTGCGGGTAAGAGATGGTTACACAGATTCAGGAATAGGTTCAGGCTGAAAAAATGTAAAAATTAATGGAGAGAAAAAGAGCACATTCACATAACTTTTATTACAGCGTATTGTTATAATCGTCCTTTCTAAATTATTAGTTATTATTGTTGACCTCTTACTCTGCCTAATTTATAAATTAAACTTTATCATAGATATGCATGTATAGGAAAAAACATTGTACATACAAGGTTCAATACTATCTGCATTTTTAGGCATCCACTGGGGGGCTTGGAATGTATTCCTTGTGAATATAGGGGTGCTTTTTTAGAAGTCAGTGTGTGGCAGAGTGGATATTTTGAAGTTAGGTGGCACCTTTCTTTTTTTCTTGGGTAGGAGATACGGGTCAGTACTCCTAGTCATTTGTTATTTAACTTCAAGTTAAAGAAAGTAGGCTGTGTTCGACTATCTTAAATATCCATCATCAAATTATTCTTACAAAAAATCTGTTTATATGGAACAATATTTCATTTATACCAAAGCCACAGTTATCTTTTAAAATCATAAATCCCCTTCTTAAAATCTGCACTTTGTCCTGCGGCATCTAAAACCCTACATGATCCAACTCTGGCTTGTATCTTGAACCTCATCTGCTACCACATTTCCCCATTCTTTTTTTTTTAATTCTCATGTAAGGATATTTTTATTGATTTTAAAGAGAGAGAGAGAGACATTGATTGGTTGCCTTCTATATGCACACTGAGCGGGCATTGAACGTACGACCTAGGTATGTGCCCTGACCAAGAATTGAACCCGCAACCTTTTGGTGTAAGGAGGCAATGCTCCAACGGACTGAGCCACCTGGCCAGGGCATGTTGTGCTCTTGTTACTGTGTCCCAGCTTCATGGACCAATTTTCTGTATCTGGAACGTGCTAAACTCATCTGTGCCTCAGCACTCACTGTTATTCCTACCCAGATCTTGAGATTTTCACATGGTTTCAGCTCATGGCTGAGAGTTCCCTCTGACTTCACTGTCTCCCTTTCTAAAAGGAACACCCTTACCCCAAAATCACATTTAAGCTCATACTTATGGCTTTGTGTAGTTTGTTTTGTTAACACTTAACCAGTATCTGCAACTATTATATATTTGTTTTTAATTTATTATCAGTCTGCCTCCTTAAATATGAATAGAGCTTATTATCTGTTTATCTCCTATTTTATACTGAATTTATAATAATGACTACACTTAAGAGGCACGTAATGAAATCTGTTACATGAAGTAAGGAGTATGTATGAGTAAACATATTTGACTTCTAAAATCTTTATCCTAAGTCACTGGTTCTCAAAGAAGAATTCTGTCCGAAAGGGGGCACATTTAAAAAAAAAAAAACTATGATTATGTTTGTAATCAACCTCACTGTTAACTCTGGAGTAAGGGTTAAGATGGGTTGCCTCAGATACCACTCAAAAAGTTTTTTGATACTATATAAAAGGCCATTAAAAATTTATCTTAAGGCGTAAAATAGTTTTATCCTATTGCGACCAAGATAACAAGTAAGAGAGGCTCCCTGTGGATATAGCTGTTAGTTCTTCTGCCCCCGAAAGGAAAGGCAGGTAAACTCAGAAACTGATAAGAAGGCAGGTTCCATGGGAGGATTTAGAGGAAAGAAGGTACAAAAGCTACCCAGTGGCCAGTAAAGGTAGTTAGTCAGCTGCTACGCTAGAAATTAGGTCCACATCTCTTTCTGCTGCTGGCCCTTAATGTGATCAAGATTCAGGCTGCTCTCACATTGAAACTCCACCTTCCTTTTTGTCTGTCTTCAGAGGTCAATATTGAACATTAAAATTTGAGATCACAAATCTCATAGAGTGTTTCAGCTCTAGTTTTTCTTCTTAGACTGTATTGATAAGTCTTTCTGACTCTCTGAATAGTCCTGATCTGAAATTTAAGCAAAATGTTTTTTGTATCCAGTTACAGTATTTTGAGTTTCTTTTTAATAGCATGGAGTATTGGGTTATAGCATTAGATGAGGCCTTTCTATTCCTTTATATATATTTCACTAGAGATAATGGAATTAGAGATCTAAATGGTAAGTTTATTATTTTACTGGAATTCACAAAGCTCTTTAAACAATTCTGAATTTAGAATTAAGGTAATCACTGGTTCCTTTTTGTGAATAACAGTTCTAACCCTTTCTAAATAAAACAAGTGACTAATCAATCCCAAGCTTCTTTAAATGCTTTTGTAGACTCTAAACTCTTCATTTTGTTTCCCAGAACTAAATAGGGGTTCTAGCTTTGAATTTAGGACAGCAGTTTACTTTTTTTGTTTGTATTTTAAATTTTGTTTTATTTTTACTTATTTTTTTAAAGGAACTTATTTATGTATTGCAGGGCATCAGTAGCTCTTCATAGTGTATGTGTGTTACATATGTGTGTATACCTACATACTATATAGTGTAATTTGCAAAATATACAATATTGGCATAAATCATTGTCTAAATTATTTTGTGTACTCTTAGGTAAAATTTGAGATACAACAGCTATTCATTTGGTTTTGGAAATTGAAACAGAGGTAGTTAGTGTTAGCAGTAGAGGGTTACTACTACTTTCTTAAAACTTTTGACCACACATAAGTGCTTTGCTTATGTCCACCTTTTGTGTGGCCACTGGGAAGGGGGAGAATTTCTGGCATGAGAAGAGATTAGGGGAGGTTCTGTTGAGGAGATATCATTTGATCTGGATTTTAAAAGAAGGATAGGATTTCAGAAGTTACAAATGTGGGCTGGAGGGTAGAGGGGCATTACAAAGATATACTAGCATGGGCAAAGACAAAGAGGTGAGAAAATACTATGCATGTTTCAAGGATATTGAGACCAGTTTGTCCAGTGTATGTGAGTGACACAAAGGACTTCATAAGTAAAATTGGAAATACTTTAGAATTCTTTGAACTTACTTGTTTCTCTTCACTTGAATATTTCTTTTGTGATTCTTAGCTTATTAATTCTCTATTAAAAGAAAGTAATAAAAAGATAAGCTTAGCTCTTTGTGAAGTATAACAGAGTACTAATTCCTAGACCTAAATTAATGAGACACCTTTTTTCTCTTTTCCTTTTCATCTTTATTTTTCCAAAATTGTTGACAGTGACATATGATCATACATGCCAAATTGCTGACTTTTTTTATTTTAAAAAGATAATTTTTACAATGAACAAAAAAATGTAATGCCCAGTAAATAAAATAGAAATGACATTATAACAGACATGTAAGGGAAAGAATAACACTCTCTTCTATGTCATTGTCTGTACATATGATACACTAATAAAATTAGTGCTTTGTTGAGCTCAATAAGATGTTTTCTTGTTGCTAAATGCTTTATTTTCCTGATTTCTTCTGAAAGATTGGATGAAATGAAGTATTAAAATCCTTGTCTGATTTTTCTTATTATGTAGCAGGTTGTTTCCCTTAGGGATATTTGGCTATTTATTTGGTGGTTGTGGTGGTGGTTGTTTAATCAGTGTACATGTTGTGTTACGGTTCTCAGAATAACCTGTTGTCCTGAAATACTGCTTTCTACAGGGCATATTAGACATTTAAAAAAAGAATTTTGACTTTTATAATTCCTAGAACGTATGAGATAGACACAGAATGTATGAGATAGATCTCATAACTTGGGGAAGCCTTAGGGTGACCCATCACTTGGAATGAGGCCTCTAACGAA